TTTATTTTGATGTCTTTATAGCAACTGGTTTTTGAGAATAAGGGTTAGTTTAGCTTAGTTTCTGAGTGTTTTAATATCTTATTCTATATCAGAAGAGAATGGGATAAAAGAAGTTATTTTATTAATTAAATGTTGGAGGAACAAAAATATTTGGAAGGCATTTAGCAGTTTTTATCCAGCATAAGATAGAGTCTTAATCATTTGATTTGTTATTTATGAACAATCATTGTAAGCTGGGCGCCGTGACACACTCCTATGATCCCAGCAGCACGGGAGGCTGAGACAGGAGGATCGAAAGTTCAAAGCTAGCCTCTGCAAAAGCAAGGTGATAGGCAATTCAGTGAGACCCTGTCTCTAAATAAAATACAAAAAATAGGGCTGGGGATGTGGCTCAGTGGTCAAGTACCCTTGAGTTCAATCCCCCTACCAATAACAATAATAATAATTATTATATATGTGGGCTCAAGCCCCAGTATTAGTAATTAATCATTATTTTTCCTATTTAAAAAAAAATGTTTAGGGGCTGGGATTGTGGCTCAGCGGTAAGAGCACTTGCCTAGCACAGGAGGGACCTGGGTTTGATCCTCAGCACCATCTAAAAATAAAGGCATTGTATTGTGTCCATCTACACCTAAAAAATGAATATAAAAGAAATGTTTGACATGAGTTTCAATTTGTTCTATCCGCTATAAATAATTCCAAAGCACATTCTAAGCATATAGATTTCACATCAGAGTAAAATTGAACAACAGTTTAATATTGCTTCTGTTTTTAGGTTACCCATTTGGATATGACTATTCGAGAACACAGAGGAGAAATGGAACAAAAAATAATTAAATTAGAGGGTAATCTGCAGAAATCGGAATTGGAACTTAAAGATTGCAACAAACAGGTAATTATTGAAAGTTTACACATCTTAAATTGTTTAAAAAATTACTTTGGGCTAGCTAAGTGATAATTCCAGCTACTGGGGAAGCTGAGGCAGGAGGATGTCAAGTTTGAGGTTAGTCAAGGCAACTTTGTGAGAACCTTTTTCAAAATAAAGACTAAAAGGGACTAGGGATGTGGTGTACCATGCACATGGATGTTAGTTCATCCTCAGTGTTGCAGAAAACAAAAACAAAACACACTAAAACTGTAAGCAATCTGGGGCTGAGGTTGTGGCTCACCAGTAGAGTGCTCGCCTAGCACTTGTGAGACACTAGGTTCAATCCTCAGCATCACATAAAAATAAATAAGTAAAATAAAGGTATAAAAGGCCCAAACTTTTTTAAAAATTATTTTTATTCTAATTTGTTATATTTGACAGCAGAATGCATTACAATTCATATTACACATATAGAGCACAATTTTTCATATCTCTGGTTGTATACAAAGTATATTTACACCATTCGTGTCTTCATATATGTACTTAGGGTAATGATGTCCATCTCATTTAAAAAAAACTGTAAGCAATCATTCACATAAAACAGCTTTTTGTTTTGTTTTGTTTTGAGACAGTCTGGTCTGAAACTTCTTAGGTTCAAGTGATCTTCCTGCTTCAGCCTTCTGAATAGCTGGAACTACAGATGATGACATTGATGACATTTTCCTTTTTATGTAATTTTGAGTGTAATGTTTTTTAATATCCTATAATATGTCCCCTTACTACTTATAATATGTCTGAATATGAATAAAATATTTCTGGAAGAATTTGTAAGTAATTCTGGAAACTGGTTGCTTCTAAGGAAGAATAAAATAGGAAGGATACTTTTTCTTCTTTAGAGTTTGTTTTTTTGTTTGATTTGGAGGTACTGGGATTTGAACCTGGAGTCACTTTACCACTGAGCTACATCCCAGTTCATTTTATTCTTTTTAAATATTAATGCAGGCTCTTGCTTAGGCTGGCCTCAAACTTGTGATCCTCCTGCCTCAGCCTTTCAAGTCACTGGGATTAAAGGTGTACACCACCACAACTTTGTCTCTCTATTTTAACCTCATGCATATATTATATATAAAATTATTTGTAAG